CATCAGCCACACTATCAGAGGCTAGTTCACCTGCACATCTATCAATGTGATATATGCCATCATGTGCCAGCAATGCCCCTCTGCCATGTACATTGGTCAAACTGGACAGTCTCTACGTAAAAGAATAAATGGACACAAATCAGACGTCAAGAATTATAACATTCAAAAACCAGTTGGAGAACAGTTCAATCTCTCTGGTCACTCGATTACTGACCTAAAAGTGGTAATACTTCAACAAAAAAACTTCAAAAACAGACTCCAATGAGAGACTGCTGAATTGGAATTAATTTGCAAACTGGATACAATTAACTTAGGCTTGAATAGAGACTGGGAGTGGATGGGTCATTACACAAAGTAAAATTATTTCCCCATGTTTATTCCCCCCCCCCCGCACTGTTCCTCAGATGTTCTTGTCAACTGCTGGAAATGGCCCACCTTGATTATCACTGCAAAAGGTTCCCCCCCCGCTCTCCTGCTGGTAATAGCTCACCTTACCTGATCACTCTCCTTAAAGTGTGTATGGTAACACCCATTGTTTCATGTTCTCTATGTATATAAATCTCCCCCCTGTATTTTCCACTGAATGCATCTGATGAAGTGAGCTGTAGCTCACGAAAGCTTACGCTCAAATATATTTGTTCGTCTCTAAGGTGCCACAAGTACTCCTTTTCTTTTTGCGAATACAGACTAACACGGCTGCTACTCTGAAACCTGTCATAAAGATATATATAATATAAAGATAAAGACTATAACAGGGTTAAAAAAATAACTAGATAAATTCATGGAGGATAGGTCCATCAATGGCTATTAGCCAAGATGGGCTGGGATGGTGTCCCTAGCCGCTGTTTGCCATAAGCTGGGAATGGGCGATAGGGGATGGATCACTCCATGATTACCTGTTTTGTTCATTCCGTCTGGGGCACCTGGCATTGGCCACTGTCGGAAGACAGGATACTGGGCTAGATGGACCTTTGGTCTGACCCAGTATGGCCGTTCTTATCTTCTTATATTACACACAAAGCCTAAGACTACACTGCATACTACTGGTAGTGGTGTATAGGGTATGTCTAGCTACATGTCACAGTGAAAGGCTACATTCACAGTGGCATGTAGCTACACATGTCAAGAAAGGCCTGCAGTCTTTTCCCACTACCTACTCTCTGCCGGAGCCCTTCTCTGTGGTGGGGGAAGGCTTTAGCCACTCCCTGAGGTGAAACCTTTTCCAATTGCTAAAAAATAGCAGTGTAAATGGGGGAGGCACTGCTTGGACATGTAGAAAGCTGTGTAGGGTACATACCTCTGGGCTCAGGCGTGTCTTTACCCACCTAAGCAGTGCCTCACCATCTACACTTATATTTATACCCAGGCTAGGGGGTACGTATGTATGTGTATGTGGGTGTATGTTCTTTACAAGCTGGCATAAAGAGTGTGCAGTGCAGACATACTGAAAGTAAGCAGTGCTGAACTAACATTTTTAAGGTCGCAAAGTCAAGCACTCACAATTTTGGCAATGTTAATATTCAGGTTTCTTGTGCAATGCATTATGATACAATCTTTAATTACATGATCACATATTATTTTCCCACAGGATCCCTGCCCCCCCTCTCTCACACTGAGTGCTGTGTTTTGGGAAATAGCAGTGGTGTCCAAAGTGACCAACATTTTCACATTAATTTCAGGGACATTGGAGGTGGTACTTAATTTGCAACTAAAGCCTATCTGAATAGATGCAGTATAAGCTCCCTTATATTACTTTGCTACGTAAAACATAGAAACAAGTATTTACCTTATTAATGGTCTTGCTTAAGTACAGTGAATGTAGCACTCTTGCCCCTTGACAAGTTTGCCCCCCAAATTTGAGAGAGTGGCATTGTGACCTGGTGCACGGGGGTCATAGCACTGCTCAGGTTTGGCCTGGACAAAAAGTGGTTAGGCCATGGCTCAGCTTCCCCCACCTACCACCCCACTTCCTGCTCCATGGCCTATGCTGATGCCCACATGTGGCTGACACTTATGATTCTGAATAATGGAGCTGAATTGTTGAATTTGGCATAAATGGATTTTTTTTGTGCAGGAGACAACATTATTAAATCAGGTGTCAGGTGAGTTTGAGTTGTAAACAGGAGTCTTCCTGACATACCGGGAAACTTGGCCAGTATGGTGGAGCCTAAATGTTAGACTTAGGTGCCTCAGTATCTCTGTGGATCTGGACCATGGACCCTGCATGAAACTGATCAGCCCTCCTTTTGGGATGGGAGTGAGAGTCTGAAGGTGCCGAGGAGGAGTGCACATGAATAAGGCTTTAGAAAGGCTTTTGGTACTGTCTCGCATGACCTACACATAAACAAACTAGGGAAATACAACCCAGATGGAACTACTGTAAGGTGGGTGCAGAACTCATTGGAAAACTGTTCCCAGGGAGTAGTTATCAGTGGTTCACTGGAAGGGCATATCAAGTGGGTCCCACAGGGCTCGGTTCTGGGTCCCGTTCTATTCAATATCTTCATCAATTATTTAGATTATGGCATAGAGAGTACACTTATAAAGTTTGCAGATGATACTAAATTGAAAGGGGTTGCAAATGCTTTGGAGGACAGGATTAAAATTCAAAATGATCTGGTCAAACTGGAGAAATGGTCTGAAGTAAATAGGATGAATTTCAAAAAGGACAAATGCAAAGTACTCCACTTAGGAAGGAACAATCAGTGGCACACATACAAAATGGGAAATGACTCCTAGGAAGGAGTACTGCAGAAGCAGATCTGGGGATCATAGTGGATCACAAGCTAAATACGAGTCAACAGTGTAACACTTTTGCAAAAAAATAAAACATAATTCTTGGATGTATTAGCAGGAGTGTTGTAAGCAACACACGAGAAGTAATTCTTCCGCTCTACTCTGTGCTGATTAGGCCTCAGCTGAAGTATTATATCCAGTTCTGGGTGCCACATTTCAGGAAAGATGTGGACAAATTGGAGAAAGTCCAGAGAAGAGCAACAAAAATGATTAAAGGTCTGGAAAAGATGACTAATGAGGGAAGTTTGAAAAAAATTGGGTTTGTTTAGTCTGGAAAAGAGAAAACTGAGAGGGGACATAAGAACAGTTTTCAAGTACATGAAAGGTTGTTACAAGGGGGAGGGAGAAAAATTGTTGTTCTTAACCACTGAGGATAGGACAAGAAGGAATGAGCTTAAATAGCAAGGGAGGTTTAGGTTGGACATTAGGAAAAACTTCTAAACTGTCACAGTGGGTAAGCACTGGAATAAATTGCCATGGGGCGTTGTGGAATCTCCCTCACTGGAGATTTTTAAGAGCAGGTTAGACAAACACCTGCCAGGGATGGTCTAGATAATACTTAGTCCTGCCATGAGGGCAGGGGACTGGACCAGATGACCTCTCGAGGTCCCTTCCAGTCCCATGATTTTATGATTCTATGAGCTGATGTTCACATATATCTATCTCTAAGTATTTTCTATAGAATTTATAATAATAGTAGGCAAGGATATCCAAGGTAAATTAGATTTGCTGTGTGAACTTGCTCTTAGACATCATGGATTTTGTTGCTTTTCTCTATTCCCTGATTAAAGGAGATTTTGCTTGAGGAATAACCCTCCCTCCCCCACCATCACCATGCTAGTTCTCATGGAATAGTTCTGTCAAAGAGGAGGTCTTGCTGCATGTCCTGAAGGTGCTTCGACTCTGGATTAGTCCAGTATCCCCTAGATCCAGTTCCATAGCTGAGTGCCCTCAACCAAAAGTGCTTTATCTTTGGCTCTTGCACTTCATCCTGAGCTTTGTAAGCTAAATTGTCCCAGGAGGGTGCAGTTGTCTAAGCCAGGCATGCATGTAAGTGTGGTCACTGATGTAACTAGGTTCAGATCCACTGATTGAGCTGAAGTTTAGAACTAAGTTTTAGAACTAGCAATGTAAGGATAAACAGAAGGGATTTAGCAGAAGAATTAGAGCACAACAGCGATGTGCTCATGGCAGCTCATTCTGTTGAGAAGTTGGGTAGGCACATTCTGCACAAGCTGAAGATTCCTCATGGCTTTCACCTTCAGCTGAAGATTCTGTGAATTGCAGCCATTCAGTGTGGAGATGATGAATTCCTGGTGGAAAGATGTTTTTCTGGAAAGAGGGGTGCAGTGCTAAATCATGCTAAAAGTGGAAGAATTTTTTCTTTGAATTTTGCCATTGATGCTATCTGATCATCTGGACTTAGTGATGAGTCAAATGGGACACCAGGGCATCACATGTCTTTGACTAACAGGGGGTTGGATTCTTTCAGTGGAAGGGGAGGACAATGTGTAGGCTAACTCTTCAACGTATTTCCCCTTCTGACCAGTATCACCTTGGTCTTGCCCAGGGTCCGATTGAGACAGCTGTTTTTCATCTAGGAGTAAACCTTTTGATGCAGTCTACTTTAATGTAGGAAAATCCCAGCAGTTTCATGGTGCTTCCACAATCCCCAAATCCCATGGAATTCCAAACATGCACAATTCATGTGATTGGGATTCTTTCAGGTTAGAGGGAAGGGAGACAATGCTGTGTTCTAACCCAACCACCCCATCTTCTGACAGATTTTAGCCTAAAGGAGGGATCATCCTTGGGGCACAAGCAGGCTGTGGGGTTTCAGGACTGTGAGATTCCATTCAGGAGACATCAGCATTGCAATTAAACACTTATGGTAGGCCAGCATCAACAAATTTGGGCTTGTGGGGCTGTAAAATTGCAGTGTAGACATTTGGGCTTGGGCTGGGCCTGGAGCCAGGGCTCTCGGACCCTCCCCGCTTTCAGCCCCACGAGCTCAAGTCAGCTGACACTGGCCTACCACAGGTGTTTAATTGTAGTGTAGACATACCCAAAGGGATCTGTGCCCTCCAGCCAATTTTTAATTAATTTAATTTTCTCTAAATTCACCCTTCTTCTTTGCTTCTATGCTTCTTTTACCTTGACAGCGTGGTTCTTAAATGTCCTTTTCCTTGGCTTTGTCCTTACAGGTTTTCATCAGTCATCAGATGATGATGATGATGATGCACAGATGGTCCGCATCAGAAGAAATGAGAAGATGGCTAGAGCACTAGTGGCAGCAGCTTCATTCCAAATTGGACCAGCTAGAGCATAAAGAATTTTTGAAGTCTGATTCTACTTGTAAGCTGCTGGGGCAGGGATGTTCTACCTAGTGGGTGGAGTGGGACCTTGCCTGGTGGTTGTGGTGGCAGTTCAGATAAAGACAAGTGAAGATCCAGGGATCAGGCATTGCTCCAAGGGTGACTCCAGAGTCAGGGTTGATGGGCCAAGCTGAAGTCAAAACCGGAGTCAGAAGCCTAAGCCGCAGGGTAAGCCAGAGGGGTAGTCGGAGATATAACCAGGGGGTCAGAGCCAGGAGTCAGAAACCAGAACAGACAGGGAGGTTGGGGCTGGAGCAAGGCAAGAGCAGAAAGTGGAAGTGAGAGCAGGGTAAGCATAGCTGTGGGCTAAACATTGATCAGCTGCTGTGCTGTTGCAGGGCTCAAGTAGCAGACCACTGGCTCCCTTATCGAATCAGGAAGCACCACCATTTCTGAGGGGGGGGCGGGGTCATTGGGCCTAGCTGGGCTTGTTGGATTGCCTAGCAACCAGGCTGGGAGCCAGCTGTGCCCCTACACTACTGCTGTGCAAGAGGGAAAGGGTCCTTCACCTCTCTCAGAGGTGCCATAAAGTCCTGAGCAGTGGACCTGTTCCAGTTAGCAAAGGGATGCACACATATTTGGAGCTTCTAATGAAGCTGCTGATATTCTTTCTTGTTTCAGGTTGGTTGCACTGATGCTGAAGAAATGTCTTGTGCAACCTATGATTTTTTAGGACATTGTCTCTTGAAGGTGCAGGGACGACTGAAGAAGCTGAATGACCCTTGAACTTGGTAGGATTTTTATGTTATCAGTATTTTTCTGATTATACTTATTTTGGGAGGACCATAGAGGGTCTAAATAGAGTATAATTGATCCCAACAAAGTATATTCTTTTGTCTCTTGCTATTCTTTAAAAAAAAGAAAAACAAAACGAAAGCTTGTCTCCAAAGTTGTTTATGGGTAATATTTGTTTTTACAAAAAATGGATGGTTCCCTAGACCTGTTCAGAGTTTAAAAAAGGAATTGGTGTTTATGCTAGGCAAATGAAGGAAGTTATGGAAACCCATCATTCACCATGTTAAGGGCATTTTAGCAGCTCTGGGTCATATACATAAAAGTGATTTTGAGTTAGCATTGCTTAAAGGACATTTTTATAGTTTTAATTTTGTTTTCTACTTGCCTTTGGTCCAGACTATACTGTTCTTTCTCACAGAGCAGTACCTTACTCTGTGTTGAGTTCTACTGATAAACTGATGGGCCTACTCACAGAGTGAACTACTACTTGAGATTAATGAAGGCAGAATTGGGGGCTATATTTGTAGTGCTGTCTTAAAAGCTTTAAAATAACTTTGCTTTCCCTAGTGTGTTTTTCCTTTCCTTTTAGCAAATCCTGTTGTTTTATTCCATGGTTCTTCTGGGATCAACACAGGAATGGGGTTTCTTCTTTGTTTTTCAAACATCATCATTAGTAATAAAATAAATAATACTTAGGACTTTTATACTGCTTTGCTGCATAAGAGATAATTATTATCATTGTTGATCAGATTCTGCTGAGCCTTTCTCATGTGAGCAAATCTTTCTTATTTCATAGATTCATAAATTCATAGATTCCAAGGTCAGAAGGGACCACTGTGATCATCTAGTCTGGCCTCCTGCATAACACAGGCCATAGAACTTCTTTGCAATAATTCCTAGAGTATATTTTTTAGAACAAACATCCAGTCTTGATTTAAAAATTGATGGACAATTCACCACGACCCTTGGCAAATTGTTCCAAATTGTTTGATTAACTCTCTTACCTTCAGTGGGACTATTTACAAGAGTAAGGAATGCCCACATAAGGCTTTTCATGAACTGCCCCGTTGCTTAAACCACTGGATAATCTATTGTTATCTGAGTATCAACGTGCGGTTGGCCCTGTACAATATATCAAAGAAGACATATCTCCTTAGCTGTCAGTCTAAATCCATCATTCACGATATCAGTGCAGTACCATGAATAAGATTTATTAGCTAACTGGTAATTCTGCTTATTAAGAGAGATTATTCCTTAGGCCATGACTATACGTACAGCGCTGCAGCGGTACAGCTGTACCGATGCAGATGCGCTGCTGCAGTGCATCTGGTGAAGACGCTCTATGCCCATGAGAGAGCGCTCTCTGGTTGGCATAAAAAACCCTGCCTCCGCGAGTGGCATAAGCACACGATCACTTATGGGGTGTAATTTATGTCGCTCAGGGGGGTGGAATATTCACATCCCCGAACGACGTAGGTTTTGCCAGCACAGTCTGTAGTGTGGACGTAGCTTTAATATAAGTAGAATTAATTTTTCCTGGGTCATGCCCACAACCATAAACAAGTTTGAATCTCTTTTGGGGTTTGAGGAATCTGGATGATTTTTGTTAACTTTTAACTTGCTTTCTGGTTTTGTGCGGGGCCAGAATTGCAATACGTTGAGCAAAGCTGTTCTTAGTGACATGTTCTTGTATCCAGACCAGCAGCAGAAGTATTTAAAGAGAGCATGAACTTGTGAGGTTTCCAGTTCAAAGAAATTTGGGCAAGCATCTAATCCAAAACAAAGCCAATCTTCAAACATTTTGAGGGGGTTCGTGCATGAGTTGTGAGGTCCCATGCAGAAAAAAGAGAGCTTGAAATTAATGAGTTAGAAAGAAAAGAAATTAGCGGAAGAAAAGAGAAGTAGGTCAGCATAACTTGGTACCTGCATGTAAAACTGAAAAACAAGCACTCCCTGGAAGTTAAAAATAGAATCTCATTATAGAATGTCAAGCTTCTTTAATTAGATAAAAGGGACATGAGATGGGACTGGCAGCAGCAGGGGCAAGTAAAGTTAGGTCTTTTAGTTTTCCCATGGAAGCAGACAAAAGAAGCACCAGACCCACCCCACCTCAACACGGGACAGGAACCCCAGCCCACCTCCTTGGGGCAACGCATACAAAGGCCCAAGGAAAGGTTTTGTCAGCTATGGCAGGAGAAGTTACAGGAGTGTAACTTCACAGTATTGGAGGCCTCACAAATGTCAGTAATACTGCCTCAGCGCTCCCTTGTGTACATGGCATTGACTGCTGAAAGGGAGATGTGGGGAGAAGACTAGGAATTGCACTGTGTGGGAAGGAGGAAGGGGAAGCATGGGGAATAATTGGGTTTGAGGTGATTGCACTATGATAGGAAGCAATGAGGGCTTGGTTTAATGCCCATATAAATCAATCAGAGTTTCGGTGGATGCAGGATAAGTCCCTGAGTGAATTAACTAGGGCTGGGAAGAGGGGGAGGAAGAAAAAGGGGGATCAATGGGACAAGTCATATGCATAAAGCTAAGCTTGTGCCTAAGTGTTTGCATTATCAGGGCCTTAGACTGTAAGCACTTTGGAGTCCTTATTTTATGATTGAAAAGAACCTAGTCCACATTTACATCCTATAAACATGAATAATATATGCTCCTAATTTACTGAGGGTATAACTGGGATTTCATTGTAGGTAAAATTGTAGTTATTTATGTTCATTACTAGATATTTTGGATTTATAAAGCAGATGCAAAAGGTCTAATCAAGCAGTGAAATTCCATTGTGGTCAATGGTGTAAATCAGCATGAGAGAGAATGAGGTGTAATGTCTGCACATCATAGCTGAAGCACTGTGATGGACTGGTTGGAGCAGCAGTGACTAGAAGAAGGAACACACCAGGGTGGTTAGTGTCAAGGTGGCACAATTTACTGAAAATCAGATCACAAACGAGAAAAAATCTCCCATGAGGAAATCCTACATATCAATACTATGGATTGATTTATATAGGACCTTTCTTTAGCAAAGCGTGTTATAGAATTACAAACTATTAAAGCTGAGTGAATAATTCACAATGAGTAACTTATTCAATGAATTTAACCTCTCTGCTCAGCCACAAAGAGATCACTATTGCCTTAAATATTTAATGAATTTTTTAGTGAACTTTTTAATGCTATGGATTGATCACAAACAGTGCTCTGTGAATATTTGCTAGACAGCTTCTCTGGGGTCCTGATTTAACAAGGTGCTTAAGCATGTTACTTAACTTAAGCACGTGAGCAGTGCCACTGAAATCAGTGACTACTCAAATACATAAAGTTAGTCCTGTATTTAAGTACCTTTCTGAACTGTAACCTTAGTTAGTTGTAATTCATCATAAGTCATTTGGTATTTTCTTCCTGGATTGGATGATTATGCAAGCTCATGAGTATTCAGGCATACTATGCAAAGTTCTTTTCCCATGATTACTCATGAATCTAGCTTGCCAATGGGACTGTGTATACTGGCATAACTTAATTCCTTAAATGGTGGTGGGAAATGGACACAAAAGATGCAAGACACATTTCTTGAGCAAATTCACTGCAAAACATGATTGATCATCTAGAGAAGTTTGGCACAATGTACCCAGATCTCCAAACCTTATCGCTATAGGGATCATTTCACTTCATTGCCACTGCATTTCAGTCACCTCTGAGGGTGAAAGGAAATGGGCATTATAATACCAGTAATACTCCACAAAAGATTAGGGAAGGTATTCTTCTCCTAATTAAAATGAAAGGGGAATGTAGGTTTCACTAATTTGGGGAATGGAATGAAGTCTGCAAGGGCAGGTCACATTGACCTTCTCTCTCTCTCTCTCTCTCACTCTGTGTGCGTGTGTGTATATATATACACGGCAGCTGTAGGATATTCTGTTTGTTTAACTATATTTAAACTCCCATTATCATCAGTCCTTGGCCTATTCCCATTTTTTAACTTTTTAAATCTTTTTAACTACCTTAGAGATGCTTAATATACCAGATATATGGAGAAAAATACACTTCCATTGCAGCTCCATTTACTAGGGAGTGGGTTATTCCTTTGGAAGTACTGTACCAACTTTCCAATGAACCCTCATAACTGCATGCTACTACAGCAGCAAACAGAAGTGAAGAGTTAATGCATTCTGGATCTGCTCCTGAGAGTGTGTGTTAGAGCTGCCCAGCGTTAATACCCTGAGCGTTGCAGCGGATTAATAATTTACCTGTAAAAGCACAAGGCAGTCTTCAAACATAGCCATTTAAAAGACGATAACAATATCTATAGATTTTTAAAGGAGAACTTAATTTAATATAAATTATAAGTCAAAAATTCTACTTGCAGATCTGTACTATCTGTACAGACCAGAATATTGGAATCTAGATTTGCATGTGGCTCCAGGAGAGTAACAACTGTTCTTAGCTGTAAAGAAAAGAGCTCAAACTCAGTAAACTAAATTAAAATGGCTTACATGCAATATGAAGACCCACCTGGCAAAAGGGTTGTATTAATGTAGATATAAAGTTGATTTTACTTTATGAAGAAGTTTAAACTGTTCCAATCAAATCATAATGACCATTTAAGGAAGCAGTAGTTATAGTAATGTGTCATTCTTGCTCTATTGGGTACGACAATCTTCCTTCATAATATTTAAATAGAGAATTAGAGCATACTGAATACCTGATCACTGTGCACTTCAGATGACTAACAAATGTCATGAGTATACGTGTGCATCTCAGATGTATATTATATTGTTGTGCACAGAGTAATGTGTCTTCAGGGTCCTATTGCAAAAAAGCTGTCAATCTTCACTGAATTATTCTGTAAATATATCTTCCCATAAATAAATTTAAAAACCTTTCCTAATAAGTTTGATTGGAAGATACTGGGGTTGGGGAGGGACGGGGAGGTGGGAATAAAAAAACTAGTGATATGCAAACTAGTTCTCAAAAAGTAAGCACTTGTGAATGTGGA